TGTTATTAATCTCAGGCTCTTCTCCACAGCTTATCTTTTATCCTGTCTTCCTTCTCTCACCCCAACCGCCCCTCCCTGAGCCTGGTTCTTCCAGAGGTTTCTTCCTGTTAAAAAGGTGGTTTTCCTTCCCACTGTCACCAAAGTGCTTGTTCATAGGGGGCCATGTGATTGTTGGGGTTTTTCTCTGTATGCATTGTTCTAGGGCCTACCTTATAATGTAAAGTGGCTTGAGATTACTATTGTTTTGATTTGGCATTGAATTGAATTGAAAAACGCAAAAGGTGTTTCCTGGTAGTCATTACTATTCTTTAAGTGTGATTATTAATATGTTATTAGATAGAAACAGGCAGTTTTGCATTTTGCAGCTCTGTTTCCTGATTATTACACAAACACTCAAACAGTAATTGAGTGCTAATAAATTAGAAAGTACCATATTATTACATTCTTGTTTCTGCCTTGTTACCCTACTATTTCCACTTTTTTACCAAGCTGTAGTTCCACATTATTACCCCTAGATTTTGGGACTTACTATCCATTTACATAAATTTCAGCATTTTATTATTATATTATGCTACCATGATATTACTTCGATATTAAGTGGTTATCACTTTATAAGTGAGCTGTAATAACAAATGCAAACATATATACTATTCTGTGGCAATGTGTTAAATATTTTTAAATATTTCAATCAGGCAATCTAGATGGAGATTATCTCTGCATAAAAACATTCATCAAAATGCTTAAATAGTTCTCGTATGGCGTTCCTACATACATAACTTTGCTTTGTAATGCACCAAAGTTAGAATGAAATATCACCGCACCTGTAACGTTGCTGATTTCTCCCTCTGCACATCTTATACAGTCATAGCAGCAAACAGGCCTTCCTTTCTGGAGTACCTTGTGTGTTCCTGGGGGACATTTCTCATTGCAAACTGACACAGGCACCTGAATGATCAAGAACATTTAACCGTGTATAGACACTGAGAAAAAATTGTGTCTATGGTGTTCTATGTCAAACGATTTCTTAATTTTGAAGCATTAAAACCAAAATAAACAATTTAAGTACATATACATACAATAAAAAAGGAATTGTATGATAGCTTACCTGCTTTGAGTTTCTTGCCCAAATTAAAGACTTGTTTTGCAGTTTTAGCTGTTTCTCTGTAGTTAATGATATATCATAAAGACCAACTATGACAAACTCCACAACGCCGTTTTCTCTTGGCTGCCAGTTTATAATGTCATACTTTGCTGCTGGATCTCCATTCTCATTAAAGTAAACTTCATCTCCTTCCTTAGTTGTGAAATGGATCTTTCGTATGTGTTGCAGAACCTAAGAAGTATGTCATAATTCAATTCATAGCATGACAAAGATATTGCACACCTACTGACTGAAAAATATGCAAGAATCAATTTTTAATTAAAAATCTTAATGTGAACACTGTCATGTAAATTAGCAAAAAGCTCACCATAAATGGATCTAGCTGCACATTTTTGTTACATGTTTTATTACAGCTGAGGATATTGTGAAGTGCATGGGCCACTGCATACACTCCTTTGTAGACATTGTTAAAGATAGGCATGAGAGACATGTCAATGAAGTTATTTTGAACTCCAGTCATATCTTCATGTCCAGTACACTCTCTCTGAATGTCTGCTGATGACTTCAACTCCTTGAATTTACAACTAAATGTTGTCTCCCAGAACTCAGTAAACAATTCATTATTAGATGGATTAATTGGCTTCTTATTCAGTATGAACTCTCTCAGGCCAGTGACATGTGCTTTGGGAATGGAAACACCAATGGCACCATCCAGTATGTGATGCATATCCATTTCTGCTGTTTGTGAATCAAATATCCAAGACTCACTGCCTACCCACTGGTACCCAGATAAGTTATGGTATGAAAACTCATGTAGAAGCACATTAAAATCTGCGCGGGCAAGGAATGCAACAATCACCTTGGAGGTTGAAGCCTTTATAATTTCAATTATCTTTTGTATTTTCACATATGGATCTGTCCTAAAAAAAGATACAGAATACTCCAGACAGATGCCCAGCTGCTGTGCAGTTTCTGTGAATGTGGCCATGCCATTATTTCCATAATCATTATTGGATCTGATAGCTCCAACCCAAGTCCATCCAAAATACTTGACCAAATGGGCCAGGGCTCTGCTCTGGTAGTAGTCACTGGGTATTGTTCTGAGGAAGGATGGGTACTTGGTTTTGTCACTGAGACAAGCACATGTGGCAAAGTGACTAATCTAGAATTAAAAATAAAAAAATATAAATGAAAAAGACACAGAATGAAAAAAGATGAAACTGTTAAAAATAAAACGTTCAAATATAATGCAAAATTACAAAAAGAACAATTCTACTCGGTACTTGTACATAAGATGCACCAGGCAAATATATATAATACCCACCACTGGTATAAAAAAAGGTCCGATGACAGTAGATACTGCTACGGTTGTAGAAGAAGATGTTGTTCCTATAATGGCCTGCACATGTGCAGGTTTTGTACATGAGGTCTTGGATGGTACAGACACATTTTCATTACCATTAGCCAAAGCTAATGTAACTCCTACACTTCTGGCAACAGATCCACAATTATCATAGATTTTATAACCCACAGAGAGTCCTGACAGTAGGTCTGTACTGTTATTAATCTCCTCAATGGCAAAAAGCATAGCCTGGGCAAACTGCAAATCTCTGAAATTTAAACTTAATTGAGACAATTATGATTAATTTGCATTGCATTGTGTTTCTTAAAGCAGACATAAATAATCTGGATAAATCTCAAAATATAAAAAAAAGCATTTCAAATTAAAGCATTCAATGGAAGGAAATGAAATAACTGAGAAAATCAAAATACATTTTACTCCTCTTTTGATAGCCAACAGATTCCTTAAATGTAAATTGATTTGTATTGTGTCATTTACCTGATACATTGTAGTGGCAGAGGTTGGTTCATGTAGGAATCTCTTCTGTCTTTCCAGCTTGTGTGAAAAGAAAAGATAGCACCCAATATAATATCCCCATTCTTAGACAGCAGTGGGTTCTCAGGATCTCCTCGCTGCCTGCACACTGGCTCCTCAGCATGAGAGAGAGATGCCACCAACAACAGATGCAGAAATGCCCATCCATGCTCTGGCAATCTCTGTGTCGATGTCATTTCTTGAGCTAAACTCTTAGTAGCATTAAAGCACCACAATGTAGATGAAGGTATTTATACCTCTTGGTGCAGCAAAAGAAAAAATAGAATAGAGACAGATCATTCCCATTTGATGTACAGGTTCAGCAAACGGAGGGACTCGCCCAAATTTGCAATTTAATGTTGGTTCATATACAGAAAATAACGATACACTGTTAGCCTTTGCAGTAATTTCCATAGCTTAGTACTGCAAAATCAACAGTAAAAAACTCTAAAGGATGTTTGCAGTTTAGTACTGTAATTTGCATGTAATTGTGGGAAAATTCCATGAGATTACATTATTTTTACGGTAACTCACCGTACCCATGGAAACAGCTGTAAAATACAGCAAATGTAACAATTGGTGATGTTACTGAGATTACTATTACACCATCCGGATTTCTGTTGTTTTCTACTGTAGATCTAAGAGTAATTACTTAAATCCTCATTCAGAGTGTATTACTATAAAATGCGATTCACTGTGAAAGTAGTATAACATATAAACTACAATATACAGCGTAATTTTTAACTGAAGGAGTAAGTTACAGCCACACTAAAATTTAATTCCTTGAACTGAATGGAACCTCATATATTAATAAATGTATTTGTTTATTCAAACAATGTGAAACATTATTAATACTGTAAGGTTAGTATTGTGATAGAGTCGAGTATATTTAATTATACTCTTGTAGACATTATGACATTATGCTAGTACATTTATGGTGAACAAAAAGTACATCTAAAAGTTAATTTCAAGAATACTGTTATGTACTAAAACGGGGGCCAATATAATCCCAAGAAGCATTATTAGTATACGTACTAGGTAAGGTATACTTGGGAAATATACTTGAAGTATACTTATTTTTTGTATGGCCAGCAACAAAAACTAATGGCTACATTTAGAGTAATGTTTAAAAATGACTTCATTTAGCAGGGTGTTCCTTTTTTCTCTTCTTATTCTTTCTTATACTGGACCTTCATTTGGTTTGTATAAGGTGGTACTTTTTAAGACACCTCTGCCTAACTACAGTGAACTAACCTAATAATATGCTCTGGTCATCATTTTTACTCAAGTTAAGGTGTCACATCCATGAAACTTACACCACTAACCAGCATCAGTCCTACAACTTCACTCTCAAAATTAATAAATTCTGGGACAAGCAGAAACTGTATTTTTAGCGGTGCATTTTGTGGCAGGCCAGACTGCTATTAAATGCACTCTCCTAAACAAATAATTCCTTTGTAGCACCACTTCGTCTTGGTTCAGAAGAGATGTCCTGGATATACGTGATAATGTAACACGGGTGTTTATGTTTGTTCATGTTTAGCGCGTTGGGTTGTGTTTTTAAAGCGATTGTTACGTTTTTAAAGCTTTGTAATGCGACAGGTGCGATAGCCGACACCACACCTTCACCTGACGTACAACGTGACGTATGACGCACACGTCGGGTATTCACTTTCAAAACAACAATGGGGATAGAAAATATTGCTCGAGGTGGTTAATGCTCCTTTCGCTGGTTGCCAACCACCATTAAATAACAACAAGAGGAAAATATTGATCTGTTTCTCAAGTTTTGCACGTTTAAGTCGCAATTCAGACTCAAACAAAGCTGCAAAGCAGGAGAACAACATAACCATCAACTATTGATGGTTAACATGTGCAACTTAGAAGTAGTCAGAGTTAACTGGATGTTCAATCGGGTTAAATGCAAGGTTGATTGGATTATATCTGAAGATCGTATGCTATTCGTGATAACTCTGCTAGACTCCAAATTGCTCGTCCACTTTTTCCCTAAAACGGACTGACATGGAACACATTAAAGTTGGATTGACACCAGCTAATCAGTCTGAAGGTAAGTGTTTTTTTCTCTTATTCGAGAGAAGTCAGAAATGCGTTCTTAGTACTGTTTGTTTTGACTTTCAAGCTACCCTACCAGGATATTTTCAGTCAAATGCTAAGAAAAAATGTCAATATCTATGAATGTGGAGACTCAAGAGACTAGTTAGGTAATAGTTGCCAATGGATTTATGAGACTTTATAGAAACTTGGACATTTGCAACAGGTGAATTGGTGAACTACCGAGGTTGCGCCCAAATGCTTAAAGCTGTTAGCTGGTCAGTGTTTTCAGGTGTGCTTGTACTACCTGTACGATGCGGGGTGCTGACTAAGTCATGTTAAACCCATTAAAGAGTTGAGCTCAAATATCTTTTCATTTTTGTGCACTGCTCTCTTGTCGGCACACATTTTCTGTTTATTGAAGCCTTTTGTGAATGATTTTGATCGTGTAAAAACTGGGAATTGGTCCCTATTGACAATACTCTTACTTTTTGCATTGCATATGTCATTTAGGAAAGATAATTGGTCACTGAACTTTTTGCAACTATGTGTATTTCTAAATTTTGTGGCTTCAGTGCATGCAAATATATATTGTTCAGTTTGCATGTTAAAAGCCACAAACATGTAGCTAACTATTGGCTTTCTTGTGGAACTGAAACTGTCCTGCCACTTTCAGAACATTTTCTGCCTTCATTCACATATGCCTAGGAATCACAGAACAAGAAGGGAGACCACTAAGGAGGAGTTTTATAAGTTTACTGGTGACCTCGGCTGTCAAGTTCCTGCATGTGGGTATGCTGCACAAAACTTCACAGCTCTTTGTGCCCCTCTCAGATTTCATATCAAAGATGGGGGAGAAAGTATTATGTCCATTTGAAGGTTGCTCTAAATACTTCAGTGTCCGAACATCATTTTCCAGCCATATTTCTCGAAAACATAAGTAGACAGTTCAGCAGTCAAGGCAACAAGAAATTGGAGGATTTGCCATAATACAAGGACAGGACACAGTTAATCTATTAGAAGACAGTTGACTTTGTGTCATTTAAAAATGCAGGCTAAAATGCTCTTGCCAACCAGCACTATACAGAGCATCATAGAGGAATTTCAGGATCTTTGCAGCTGTAACAAAAGTAGACACTGAATCTAACACCATCTCTCTTTTTTTTAGATGGCAGACCAAAGAATTTGAATGACACCATTACTCTGGAGCTTGGGAATGATTTCCACTCCAACTGTCCCATGCAATCACAAGAGGAGACAGAGGTCATCCAGAGGACAGAAGTATGGTTAGAAATTGTTGTGGAGGCCATGCAAGTTAACTGCAGAAACCCTAAACGTGCATCTTGTGAAGAGGTTGCTAAGATCATTGTAAACAGATACCCTCAAACATTTGCAGATTTTACTGAAAAGGGAGAAAGACTGGGTTGTGGATATTATTCACTACTAAGAAGCATCAAATCTAGAGTTCAACATGTTAATCGAGATAATACAACACATAGACTTCGTCAAACAAAGAGAACCAGGAATGAGGAAGACTGCAGTCCCAACAGTAATGCAACCTCACATAAAAAAGTTAGATGCCTTGCAGATAGCTATGGCTGTATAAATTGGCAGCCAGTTGAACTTCCTCAGGTGGAAACGCCAGCTTCTTTAGAGGAAAAGAAACACATCTTGTTAACAATTTTTAATTCAGAAGGACCTGGAGCTGTGGAGAGACCTGATGTGGATGACTTCATGTGCCTCACATATATTTCTCAGCGGCAGCTTATCAACAGTTGTCCCTCACTTTCAGTAGCTGAAATTCAGGAGCAGTGGCCATTCTTGTTTACTCGGAAAGGTCTTTCGAACCACTTTTACAAACTCACAGGCATCGATGTCAGTGAGTGCTTAGGTCAGGCCCTCGTAACCAAAGGCAGAAGGATTGTTAACTATTTCTCCACCCAGAAGCTCAAATGGAACCTTGGTATAAGGACACTCATCCAGCAGATAGAAAGTGAGGGAGTTTTGACCAACAACAAGGTTGGCACAGCAGCCATACTTCTCATGATGAAGTATTACAAGGAAGATGAAGACTCCCTCTTTGTCTTAGCAAATGTAAGCTTTTTTCATACAGCTCTACAGGGAGTGCAGAATTATTAGGCAAGTTGTATTTTTGAGGAATAATTTTATTATTGAACAACAACCATGTTCTCAATGAACCCAAAAAACCCATTAATATCAAAGCTGAATGTTTTTGGAAGTAGTTTTTAGTTTGTTTTTAGTTTTAGCTATTTTAGGGGGATATCTGTGTGTGCAGGTGACTATTACTGTGCATAATTATTAGGCAACTTAACAAAAAACAAATATATACCCATTTCAATTATTTATTTTTACCAGTGACACCAATATAACATCTCCACATTCACAAATATACATTTCTGACATTCAAAAACAAAAAACAAAAAAATCAGCGACCAATATAGCCACCTTTCTTTGCAAGGACACTCAAAAGCCTGCCATCCATGGATTCTGTCAGTGTTTTGATCTGTTCACCATCAACATTGCGTGCAGCAGCAACCACAGCCTCCCAGACACTGTTCAGAGAGGTGTACTGTTTTCCCTCCTTGTAAATCTCACATTTGATGATGGACCACAGGTTCTCAATGGGGTTCAGATCAGGTGAACAAGGAGGCCATGTCATTAGTTTTTCTTCTTTTATACCCTTTCTTGCCAGCCACGCTGTGGAGTACTTGGACGCGTGTGATGGAGCATTGTCCTGCATGAAAATCATGTTTTTCTTGAAGGATGCAGACTTCTTCCTGTACCACTGCTTGAAGAAGGTGTCTTCCAGAAACTGGCAGTGGGACTGGGAGTTGAGCTTGACTCCATCCTCAACCCGAAAAGGCCCCACAAGCTCATCTTTGATGATACCAGCCCAAACCAGTACTCCACCTCCACCTTGCTGGCGTCTGAGTCGGACTGGAGCTCTCTGCCCTTTACCAATCCAGCCACGGGCCTAATCCATCTGGCCCATCAAGACTCACTCTCATTTCATCAGTCCATAAAACCTTAGAAAAACCAGTCTTGAGATATTTCTTGGCCCAGTCTTGACGTTTCAGCTTGTGTGTCTTGTGCAGTAGTGGTCGTCTTTCAGCCTTTCTTACCTTGGCCATGTCTCTGAGTATTGCACACCTTGTGCTTTTGGGCACTCCAGTGATGTTGCAGCTCTGAAATATGGCCAAACTGGTGGCAAGTGGCATCTTGGCAGCTGCACGCTTGACTTTTCTCAGTTCATGGGCAGTTATTTTGCGCCTTGGTTTTTCCACACGGTTCTTGCGACCCTGTTGACTATTTTGAATGAAACGCTTGATTGTTCGATGATCACGCTTCAGAAGCTTTGCAATTTTGAGACTGCTGCATCCCTCTGCAAGATATCTCACTATTTTTGACTTTTCTGAGCCTGTCAAGTCCTTCTTTTGACCCATTTTTGTCACGGTCTGCAGAGGCAGGTCGTGCGGTGGTGTGTGTAATGGACCCATGAGCGTACACAAGTGAGTAGACGGGAGTGAGTTTAACAGAAAGCGAGCCTTTAATATGACTGAAGACCAGGAATACAAACACAGCAGGGATAGCGTGGCTAAACTATAACTAAACTGGGAAAACTAATACTGTGACAAACTAAGAGAACTCTGAGACGAAGATGATCACAAAAGACTGATCGTGAAAACATGGGGGTGAGAACACAGACGACGCGACACAGACTGTACGAAACACAGAGACTAAATACACATGAGGGAAGATCAGGGGAAGTGGATGCACACGGGGAACACAGGTGACACTGATAATCATAACAAGACACGGCAGGAGTGAACGTAACACTGATGGGAGATGGGCAAAGTAAAGCAGGAAGTACACAGAGGTTCAAACAGGAGGAGAGAGAGCACGGGGAGAACGCAGACATAACGGGCTGGGGAAAACATAGAATAAAGCACAAAGAGAGACGAGGGCTCATAAATACACAGAGGGGCACACAGGGGGTAAGAGTCACGAAGGGAAAACACATAAGGAACAACGTAACAGATCAACCCAGGAAGCATGGCCTAAATAAAGAACAAAATACAAAAATACATGAAAACTAAGAATACTGGGCCCACATGGCCCAGGACCATGACAATTTTGCCAAAGGAATGGAAGTTGTCTAATAATTATACACACCTGATATAGGGTGTTGATGTCATTAGACCACACCCCTTCTCATTACAGAGTTGCACATCACCTAATATGCTTAATTGGTAGTAGGCTTTCGAGCATATACAGCTTGGAGTAAGACAACATGCATGAAGAGGATGTGGACAAAATACTCATTTGCCTAATAATTCTGCACTCCCTGTATGTTTAATGCTGTTGCTTGCTGTCCTGTTATATTTTTTTTATTTGTTACATAAAATGTCTTGGTCCTTTTTCTGGCAGGAAACATCTACCAGGATGTCCCTTGAAGCAGAGAGCAACCTGCCCATCACCCCAAGGCTGATTATGCTTGGTAAGAAGTCATTTATGAAATAGAGCTGATTAGACCATATTAGAATTTCTGTTTGGCACAGGAGCTTTTCGTGGACACAGGTATCCAGTGTCTGTTTTGTTAGCTCAAATTTCTGTAATTTCCTTTATAAACCAAGGTTGTTGGACAAGTGTCTCAGTGAATCCAGCAAAGTAACAATATCAAATTTCACAATACATATTACTGATCAACGTAGTAGTCTAGCTACACCAACAGCAGAAATACTGAAGTCAATACTGTAAAGTTTAACAGCAGCACAAACTATGAACTCCAAAATAACCATAGAGTTGATTCATCTCTGGTAATTTAACTGGGCTGACTGTTTGTTAGGTGTGTTTAATGTGCAGAATAATTCCTAATTATGTACAATTATAATATGTTAAAACGGACTTATGTACATAAGGCCATTAATAATTAACAGTACGTAGCTATTTGCTTTATGACTATCTAGACAGTGTGAAGAAGTGAAGTATTACAATTATTTTATGTTGCATAATGACAACATGTTGCCCCTATACATTTAAGGACAAAGTTCAATGACCGCCACCTGCTGGATGGTGAGTGCAGAGGGGCGTGTAATTGTTGAGCTGGACAAAGAGAACACCTTTGCTGATGCAATGTCAGTCTCTGACATTGATGTATTCAACCTGGAATACCAGGAGTCAGCGTGTGCAAGTTTTTTGTAAGGATAAACCCTGAAGAGGGAACAAAATGTACCTCCAAGGTTGGGACAAGCAGAAAGACTGGGACCACTGTGAAGCGAAAGGTTGTTTACATTAACCCTCATGTCACAACTTTCCTCCAGCGGCTTACTGAATTTGAGTGGAGAACTTCAAATTAGGTAACTGTTGCCATTTTTAGTGAATTTCTTGTATAATTTAAGTGACCAATGTGTTGTTACCTGTGTCTCCACAGATGATCCATGGCCCATGCTTTCTGGACATTTACACAAGACGAACAACAATGAAGACAAGCTCTCTTGCCATCTTGCAAGACGCTGTCTCTGTCCAATAGGTTTTTTGAGTGCAACAGTTTTGATTTTTTTCCCTTCTTTTACCTGTTTGTTAAAAATTATTTCAGCTACTTACACTTTAATTGTCACATGTATTGGCTCACCCTACAAATCAATGAACTCAGTCCACAAAGCAAGATCAGGGTTCAGTGCAGGTCAGTCAAGTTCCTTCACACCACACACGCTCATCCATGTCGTGGACCCTGTTTTGTGCAATGATTTGGTGGTGTGAGCCAGTATTTTGGACAAAGTGTATATAAAGGCAGAAGTGTGGGGCTTGATATTATATTCATTACAATTCACTTTATTTGTATGGTGCCAACAAAATGAATGCCAAGGCACTTCAAAACCCTACAAAATATAACTAAGAAAACCCAACACTTGAGCATATGTTGTCTGCCATGATATGGATATGACATAATATCGTTATTGTTTGTACAACCATCTGAGAAAATAATGTATTACATGGTTTAGTAAAAACAAGTGCTTCCTCAATGAAAATGTTTTCAGTTCTTTTTAGTTTTTGATTTTGGAAATGTGTATTTCAGCAGGGAAAAATCAGTGATAATAAATAAAGTGGTGTAAAGCACATGGATTATATTTTGTGTGTGTGTATCTATCTATCTATCTATCTATCTATCTATCTATCTATCTATCTATCTATCTATCCATCCATCCATCCATCCATCCATCCATCCAATTTTTTTTTGGAACCCTCCAGTCTCTTACAGTATGTTACTGTTAACTGAAATTTCGGTAAAATTACGACCTGTTAAACGGTAAATGACCGCCTGTTGGGACACGGTATCCTCTAGCAGAGATGAATATTTTTGGTACTGATGATGCGTGATAACGGTAAGTTACTGGTTAATAAATTGCAGTTTATTACCTTGCAGCGGGCTTACAGTGGCATACCGTGAATAAACAGTAGTATACCAATTTTTTAATCACAGTATGATGTTACTTTGTTGATGTAATTTACGACATAACGACATAACGGTATCTCACTGGCGTCACTGTTGCCAGTGAGATACCGTAAAAAAGGCTACGGCGTGTTACCATAATTTGTCCAAGAGTATTATACCACACCAGCAAAAAACTGTATCATCCTGCAGAGCATTAAGCTACCGTAACACAGCACAGTGAGGCCAGTATGTTACCGTAAAGTGGCGATGAAAAGTCTAACAGTGTATACAAAGGCCCATTTAAATATAAATTAACAATGGAAAGAACAATTCACTACAAATAATGTACTAAAAAAATCTTTTTCCTATACAGTACTTTTATACTCTTAGAACTTTATACAAGTTACAGTCATCCATTCACTTACACTTTCACATCTGTGATGCATAGATGTGATATTAAGATCTGTCATCAGTCTGATACTAATTCAGTCTGAAGTTAATAGGAAATGGTAAGGAAAATTTACACCATTGAACCCTACTCTAAAAACATGTCATGGACTTAACAATGTCTTTGAAGTATGGTTTAAGAAAGTGTTTAAAGATTTTACAGCATGTGTAGCGCCATCTTGTATCAGTACAGAACTTGATATCACTGGGTTGGTTGGTTGGTGTTACATTTTTTGCTTGGTGTACTGAAATAGGGCAATCCACCTGTGGCCCTAATGCTTGGGTTTGTAGACCCACTTTGCAAATGACAGTTGTGTGGATAAGTGCGTCTTTGCGCCAGCTGCAGATGAAGAGGTAACAGAGAACAAAGGCAACAGCAAATAATCAGCAGTTTAGAGATATTTCAAACATCTGACACCAAAAGATTTATTTGTTTATTTACTGTAACTTGTGTTTACACTAAAAACTCATCTTTTAAAGTACCACATATTATATTTTGTTTTAAATCCTATACAAAGGAAGAGCTTTACTGTTATTGCTTTTACTGATATAGTAAGAGATTTTTTTTTCATCCATCCATCCATTCGCTTATCCTTTTCAGGGTCGCGGGGGGCGCTGGAGCCTATCCCAGCTGTCATAGGGCAAGAGGCAGGGTACACCCTGGACAGGTCGCCAGTCTGTCGCAGGGCCAACACACAGGGACAGACAACCATTTGCACTCTCATTCACTCGCACATTCACACAATGGCAATTTGGATTTTCCAATTAACCTATCCCCTCAAGCTGCATGTCTTTGGACGGTGGGAGGAAGCCGGAGTACCCGGAGGGAACCCACGCAAACACGGGGAGAACATGCAAACTCCACACAGAAAGACCCCGGCCTGATGTTGGAATTGAACTCAGGACCTTCTTGCTGTGCGGCAACAGTGCTAACCACCGTGCCACCGTGCTGCCCCAGATTTTTTTTTACTTTCCTTATTTCATTTGCCATATATATGTGTAGCTGCTCTTTGAGAACCATGCATTAAACACATACATGCACAAAGCAAAACAATTGATGGAGTTGCATTGTGGTGCGCACAAAAATTTGATAATGGCAATGGAAACCTCTTGAAAATGAAAATGAACAGGTTATAGAAGAACAGGTACTCTTACTGATTTTATCTGCAGTGGCATGTAATTCAAATTTCAAACTTCCAGGGTTTGACATAAAATAAAGACAAAATAAAGGCATGCCATGATAAATATATGATTGACTCAATAACCTCTAGCTATCAGTGCCTTGGTATGCTTTTTTTTTTACCTAGTTGCAAACTAAGTAATGAAAATGCATCAGGAAGGAGAAGGAGCTTATTCATATTCTGACAGGATGGTGACAAACTAATTTGGGAAAAATAATAAGAGTAAAATACCATTTTACTAAATTCAATTTTCAAAGTGAATTTGGTACCTTCTTCCCCATCATATTCCTTTTTGTATTTTTCTCTGGCTTCAGTAAGATTATATAACATTTGGGTATGAAGATGCAAATTAGCAGTCCAAAACTAGATGCAAGTATAGCAAATATTTCTACAGCAACACTGAACTTCCCAGGGGAGCTAACGTATGCTGGGATAAATGTAATCCATACTGCACAGAATATCAGCATGCTGAAAGTGATAAACTTGGCCTCATTGAAATTATCGGGTAGTTTTCGTGCTAAAAATGCAAAAATAAAACATAAAATAGCCAGAAGTCCTATATAACCAAGAACAGCCCAAAAGCCTACAGCTGAGCCAAGGGCACACTCTAAGATGATTTTATCTTTGAATTGTAACAAATTCTTAGATGGAAAAGGAGGAAAAGTTGTTAACCAGATGATACAAATGACAACTTGTATAAGAGTGAATGCTGTAACACAGAGTCTCTGCTGTGTCTGCCCAAACCATTTTTTAACATTACTACCTGGACGTGTAGCTCTGAAAGCCATTAAAACAACTATTGTTTTTCCCAGAAGACAAGAGATACAGAGGACAAAGGTGATGCCAAATGCTACATGTCGGAGCATACAGGACCAATCAGAGGGCTGACCAATGAAGGTCAGAGAACACAGGAAGCACAGAATTAAGGAGAAGAGCAGCAGGAAGCTCAATTCAGAGTTGTTTGCCCTCACTATAGGAGATTTCCTATACTTGAAGAAAATGAGTATCACACCAATTGTCATGCATGCCCCAAATAAAGATGCTGCAGTGAGCAGTGCTCCCATAATTTCTTCATATGACAGAAACACTGCTTCCTTCTTGATACAGGAATCTCTTCTTTCATTTGACCAAAACTCAGGTAGACATCTCACACAGGTGACAGAATCTGGAAATTAATATTGATGCAGATGTTACAAGTTGTTAAATTTAATGAGCACAATTTCATATGTGTTTGCATTTAAAACATCCATGAAACATCCTACTGATGCTGTACAATTACAAGGTGATAAACAATATGTTTATTAAGTTAAGCACACAGGTATACTGGTTTGTGATCAAGTAAGGATTAACAGATGTGATGTCTAGAGAGGAGACGGCATGCATCCCACTTTGGATGGAGCAGCTCTCATTTCTAGAAGTCTTGCCAAATGTATTAAATCCCCCCAAAACCTGACTATCCAGAGTTGGGACCCAGAAGCAGAGTTGCAGTCTTACACGCCTCTTTGCAGCTTCTCTCCTCCCATTATTCCCCAAAACCCCATCTCCTCAGAGACAGTGTCAGCTCCCAAACAGACAAAAAAACAAACTAAAAACCGGCAAAAAACAACTTAAACATAAAAAATCGCAAAAAAGGGACAATAAAATAATGCGCTTCTACAACAAAGAGTAAAACAGTAAAATGTGGATTATTAAATATTAGGTCTCTCTCTTCCAAGTCTTTTAGTCTGTTCGTACATTAATTAATAATTGATTAACAAATTGATTTACTCTGCCTTACAGAAACCTGGTTACAGCAGAATAATTACGTTAGTTTAAATGAATCAACACCCCTGAGCCATAGTAACTATCAGGGCTGAGGGGTCGGTGTGGCAGCAGTTTTCCACATCAACTTATTAATCAACCAAAGACCAAGACAGACTTTTAATTCATTTGAAAGCCTGATGCTTAGCCTTGTTCAAAACTCAAAAAACAGTCTTATTTGTTATTATCTTCCACCTGGGCCTTATACAGAGTTTCTGTCTAATTTCTCAGACTTTTTATCTGATTTACTGGTCAGATCAAATAAAATAATTATTGCTGGTGATTTTAACATCCATGTAAATGCTAAATATGACAGACTCAACACAACATGTCTGAAACTAGCACCACTGAATGAACAATGGGCTGGGAGGTCCATTCCTTGATCATTAATATGCAAATTCTCATGACCATTGATCAATCAATCAAATTTATTTATATAGCACATTTAAAGTCCGAAGTACACCAAAGTGCTTTCCAGTAAAACCATGATACAGGTAAAATCACAATATGAAATATAAATTACAGATATAAAATATAAAATAATTACATAATCTAAATGCAGAGCCAGATGTAAATTATCCTAATTAGCCTCGAATGCCAGGTTAACACCAGGCTAAGCAAAGAAACCCTCCCTCTCCTCAGCCACCTCCTTCAGCTTGTCCGGGAAAACACCAAGGTGTTCCCAGGCCAGCCGAGAGATATAATCTCTCCAGCGAGTCCTGGGTCTGCCCCGGGGTCTCCTCCCAGTGGGACATGACCGTAACACCTCATCCAGGAGGTGCCCAGGAGGCATCCTTATCAGATGCATGAACCATCTCAACTGGCTCCTTTCAATGTGGAGGAGCAGCGGCTTTACTCTGAGCCCCTCCCAGATGGCTGAACTTCTCACCCTCTCTAAGGGAGAGGCAAGGGAGAGCAATCTCGTTCTTTCAGTCGCTACCCACAGCTCATGACCATAGGGTGAGGGTAGGGACGTAGATCGACCGGTAAATTGAGAGCTTCCCTTTTACGCTCAGCTCTCTCTGCTTCCTTCTCCCGTGACTCATGAAGAAGACCCCGAGATACTTAAACTCCTCCACTTGGGGCAGGAACTCTTTTTCAGCCTTTTCCAGGTCCATGGCCTCAGATTTGGAGGTACTGATTTTCATTCCTACCGCTTCACACTTGGCTGCAAACCATTCCAGCACGAGCTGAAGGCCATCACCTGATGAAGCCAACAGAACCACATCATCCACAAAAAGCAAAGATGAGATTCTGAGACCACTCAAATAAAAGCCTTCCGACACTTGGCTACGCCTAGAAATTCTGTCTATAAAAATTACAAACAGAACCTGTGACAAAAGCAGCCCTGGCGGAGCCCATCACCCATCTGAAATGAGACCAACTTTTTGCCGGCTATGTGGACCAATCTCTTGCAACAGTTGAATAAGGATTGAATGGCATGTAGCCATGGGAGAGATACCCCATACTCTGTTAACATCTCCCACAGGACACTCCGAGGGACATGGTCGAATGCCTTCTCCAAATACACAAAACACACGTGGACTGGTTGGGCAAACTCCCATGCACCCTCAAGTATCCTCGAGTGGATAAAGAGTTGGTCCAGTGTTCCATGACAAAACCGCACTGTTCCTCCTGTATCTGAGGTCCAGCTAACGGATGGACTCTTCTTTCCAGCACCCTGGCATAGACTTTCCCAGGGAAGCTGAGGAGTATTGTCACGGCTGGGCTGTGTGGCTGGCAGGAGGAGGACCCAAACGCAAAACTCACAGACACGGGGATGAACTCAAAATCACAGCTTTAATGCTGGAATGGCAGAACATAGGAAATACAAAACTAAACTGGGAAAAGTAAACTAACATACGCAGAGAGACACAGGGAGATCCACACAACATGAGGGACGACGTCACACTGAACAGAGGGAGACGCAGACAGAAATACACAGAGGGTTAACGAGGGAAGTGGGAACACACGGGGAACACAGGTGACACTGATAATCATAACGAGACAGGGCGGGGTGAACTGAACACTGACGGGAGAGGTGAAACAGGAAGTACAGGAGGAGAGAGAGCACGAGTAGAACCCCAACGTAACAGGCAGGGGAGACATGGAATAAACACGAAAGGGGACGAGGGCTCATAAATACACAGAGGGGCACACAGGGGGTAAGAGCCATGAAGGGAGAACACTTAGGGAACAACACAACAGGGCAACTCAGAAAACATGGCCTAAGCAAGGAACAAAATACAAACATACAAGGAAACTAAGAACACTAGGCCAACATGGCCCAGGACCATGACAGTACCCCCCCCTCAAGGGCTGGCTCCAGACAGCCCAAACACAGAAAAACAAAACCAAACAGAAAACAACCCAGGGCGGGCGGCGGGGGCCCAGGACGGAGGGCTCGGAACAGAAAACAAAAGAAGAGCACAGCAAACACCGGAGCCCAAGAAAACAACCCAAACACAGAGCAGTTCAGGGGGCCGACCGTGCGGAAGGCAACGGCGGAGACGTGGAAACAGTTCAGGGGGCCGACCATGCGGAAGGCAACGGCGGAGACGCGGAACCAGTTCAGGGGGCCGACCGTGCGCAAGGCAACGGCGGCGATGCGGAAACAGTTCAGGAGGCCGACCGTGCGCAAGGCAACGGCGGCGATGCGGAAACAGTACAGGAGGCCGGCCGTGCGCAAGGCAACGGCGGCGATGCGGAAACAGTACAGGAGGCCGGCCGTGCGCAAGGCAACGGCGGCGATGCGGAAACAGTACAGGAGGCCGGCCGTGCGCAAGGCAGCGGCGGCGGCGAAGGAGACGACGGAGCAGTTCAGGAGGCCGACCGCGCGGAAGGCAGCGGCGGCGGCGAAGGAGACGACGGAGCAGTTCAGGAGGCCGACCGCGCGGAAGGCAGCGGCGGCGGCGAAGGAGACGACGGAGCAGTTCAGGGGGCCGACCGCGCGGAAGGCAGCGGCGGCCCTCCAGTCTCAGGCTGCTGGCCATGGCCTGGTGGGCACAGGACCAGACGAGGCGGAAGCTGGACCAGACGAGGCGGAAGCTGGACCAGACGAGGCGGAAGCGGAGGCTGGACCAGACGAAGCAGCTGATGAGGATGCTGGACCAGACGAAGGCTCTGAGGAGGCCGCAGCAGACGAAGGCTCTGAGGAGGCCGCAGCAGACGAGGACGAAGACTCGGAGGCCGGACCAGACGAGGACGAAGACTCGGAGGCCGGACCAGGCGAGGACGAAGACTCGGAGGCCGGACCAGGCGAGGACGAAGACTCGGAGGCCGGACCAGGCGAGGTTGCAGAGGCTGAGGCCGGGCCAGGCGAGGTTGCAGAGGCTGAGGCCGGGCCAGGCGAGGTTGCAGAGGCTGAGGCCGGGCCAGGCGGAGCTGCAGAGGCTGAGGCCGGGCCAGGCGAGGTTGCAGAGGCTGAGGCCGGGCCAGGCGGAGCTGCAGAGGCTGAGGCCGGGCCAGGCGGGGTTGCAGAGGCTGAGGCCGGGCCAGGCGGAGCTGCAGAAGCACAGGTAGAGGCTGGGCCAGGCGTAGCAGAAGCGGTCGCAGATGGCGGCTGGACAGGCTCCTCGGGCCCTCCAGCTGATGCGGCGTGAGGCTGGACAGGCCCCTCGGACCCTCCAGCGGAGACAGGAGGCTGGACAGGCCCCTCGGACCCTCCAGCGGAGACAGGAGGCTGAACGGCCCCTCGGACCCTCCAGCGGAGACAGGAGGCTGAACGGGCCCCTCGGACCCTCCAGCGGAGACAGGAGGCTGAACGGGCCCCTCGGACCCTCCAGCGGAGACAGGAGGCTGAACGGGCCCCTCGGACCCTCCAGCGGAGACGAGGAGGTGCTGGCCGGGCTCACTGGAACCCCCAGCGGACGAGGTAGATGGCGGCGTGGGAGCCACGGAGTCCTGGATGAGCTCATCCGAGCTTCCAGCAGGAGCTGATGTCGAGCCAGAGAGAATTGGGACCCCGGGCTCAACGTTAAGCTGGCTAGAAAACCGCACTGCTACGGGGAACAGGGCCAAGGGTTCAGGTGGGACCTGAGCTGCTGGACACACGGGGACCTGAGCTGCTGGACACACGGGGACCTGAGCTGCTGGACACACGGGGACCTGAGCTGCTGTCTGTAGTAACGGTGGTGGTGAGAGTGGAGTAGGTAGTGGAGTTAATGACTTCACAGGGGAACGAACTAGAGGTAGTGACGGTTGTGGTGCTGGTGGTTGAGTGGGTGACTGTGCTAAAGGAGGCTGCACTGGGGACACTGGAGACTGCACTGGGGACACTGGAGACCGCACTGGGGACACTGGGGACACTGGAGACCGCACTGGGGACACTGGAGACTGCACTGGGGACACTGGAGACTGCAGTGA